GAGAAAGGAGCTGGATGTCCTGGTCCTCAGGGAGATGGTGAGATGACTCACATGCCACGGAGCCGAGAGAGGGGCTGGGGAGATGAGTGAATTGCATACCAGAGCGAGAGGCTGAGATGAGCTTCTTGGCGCCTTGATTCACCCGTGTCAGTTTCTTCAACAACATCTGCAGTGCGTGGGGTAGAGCGGTCCCACCGCGGTAGAGGAGGGAAAGGGGGCTGGGAGGCTGACGTTTGCTTCCCGCCTGCTGGGCCGGCCGCTAGCACTTCATGAATGACTCACCTCATTGTCAGGCTGATTCATGGCTAGGCTGGAGACTTGGGGCGGCGGGGGTGAAGCAGCCCCCCCCCCCGTGCGTTTCACATTGCACACACACACACACACACACACACACACACGCGCGCGCGCGCGCAGCGAGCCTATTTACATGCTGGGGCTGGACAAGATGAATGGGCTTTCCACGGTAAGAGGAAGGGGAAGGCCCTCCACCTGGTTGGTGTATGGAGAACAACCTAGAAGTTTCTGTCTATAGTGTACCTCTGGTTATTAAATGAAAACTAATTAAAATTAAAACTTCAGTTCCTTTGTTGCACTAGCCATATTTCAAGTGCTTAATAGCCACATGTGGCTACTCTATTGGACAGTATGGATACAGAATATTTTCATCAACATAGAAAGTTCTAATGGACAGCGCTGGTCAACATACTCATTGGTTACATGCTAACTCAAAATCCACAACCTTCACACACACACAGACCAGTCCCCTAACCATCACCATCCACGCAACTCCTCCAAACCCCACATGCAGCATACAACGCACATTAATTCTATACACATTCCACACACCCACTCAGCATACTACAGCCACCCACCAACACAGCCCCACAAGACTCTTGGTGTGTGTACACAATTCCTATCCAAATATGCCACCGTCCATACCAAGGCAAATGTAAAAATAAACACATAAACACACACATCATCACACCGATTCACATACTACTACTCATATGATAAAAATACAAATTAGGGCAAAATGTATTTGCAAATATGCTGAAATAGATGCAAACCCGAGCCATGTGGTTCTCATAACAAATCCCAGCACATGTTTGCAAACTCGAGTAGGGGGAAGGGAACCCACATTTGTTGAGCTCTTGCCAATGTGCCAGGCACAAAGTTAGCCATTTCCATGCATTAATTTACTTCATCTCACAGCAACCCTGTGGGGGAGATATATTATTCCATTTTCATAGATGAGGCAACTAAGGTCCAGAGAGGTAAAGTAACTTCCTTGAAGTAACACAGTAGCAGAGTCAATATGAACCAAGATTTGTCTAACTCGAAAGCCAGTGCACTATCTCCAGACACAAACATTGTAATGCACATGCACACATTCCAGATGATGTACTCTCCTTTGTACCCGAGAAGGTGAAGCTGCTTGCCCAGCAACTATAGGTATTTGCAGGAGTGAGCATGGAGTTGCCTAGACTCATTCACACTCCCTCCTGAAAAATGGCATTAAGTTATTTAACAAACTCTTGCCAGGTATCTTCTACTTGCCAGACTCTGTGCTACATGTTGAGACACAAAGGTGAAAAGCCATGTCTTTGCCTTGAAAGAGTTCAGAGCCCAGCAGGGAGGTGTGAGGGGGATCTGCAGATAAAACAGGACATACAATAGACACGCTCTATAATTGAATAATAGAGATAAGCCCAAATGCAGGAAACCATTGGTAAAGAAGGAGTCCCTGGATGGTGCAAATGGTTAAGCACTGAACTACTAACCAAAAGGTTGGCTGTTCAAATCCACCCAGGGGCGCCTCAGAAGTAATGGCGGGCTACCTGCTTCCGAAAGGTCACAGCCTTGAAAAGCCTATGGAGCAGTTCTACTCTGCATAATGGGGTCGCTATAAGTCAGAATCGACTCGACAGCAACCAACAACAATAACATGGGGAAGGATCCTGGGTCTGACTGGAGCAATTAAGGAAGGCTTCTTGGAGGAGGCACCATGTGAGATGGAGCTTGAAAAACAAGTGGGGTGGAGAGATGAAGAGGGATTGGTGTTACAAAAGATGAGATAGAGCAGGGAGGCAGATGCCAGGGCATTGCAGGTCCTGGGGGCTTATGTCATCCTCTGGTGGCTGGGAGAGTTTGAAGAATTTTTACAGTGGAAAAATGGGATCTCATTTGCATGTTAGAAAGAATGGGCAGAAGGAAGAAACATTTGGACTAAGGAGAGGCTACTGCAATAGTCTAGGCAATAGGATTGTAAAGCATCTGGATAAGGTGGTAGGTGGGGACCAAAAGAGTGTAGCCTGGCTCTGACTTAGAGCAAGGCAACAGGATTCTGACCCATAAGAATCTGACAAAAGCTATGGAAATTCTCTCAGAACAAAGTACATGTGCATAGGCACATGATATTTTGCACATGATTACAGGGGTCTTATATTCCCAAAAGCCCCAGGTTAAAAACTCAGTTCCTTGGAATTCTATGAGGCAAAACAGCACAGTGATTAAACCTGTGGATGCTGGAGTCAGACTGCCTGGTTCATAATGTCAGCTCCACCACCTACTAGCTACGTGACCTTGGGCAAGGCACTGAGCTTTCCCTTCTCTGTAAAGCAGAACTGATGCTAGCACCTATGTCAAGGGTTGTTAACAATAATTGAGTTAATACACATAAAGTGCCTAGAACTGTATATGGCACACAGAAATGCTCAGGAAGTATTGGCCATTATTATTATGGGGTTAAATCAAACTGCTATTGAGACCCCCTCACTACACTCACTCCCCTTTGTACACCACTTCGCAGTGGGCATCTGGTATCCTCTGGTGTGGGCCCTGCTGCCCAAGCCCCAGTGCCCATTTTTCCCTTTCCTTGAACCCACCCCTTCCTTTTTAGTCTGAGTCTCTACAATCCTCAAACTTGGTTATTAAAGAGTTAAGCCTCCTAACCCTTCTTCTGAGAGGAGGAAGATGATGACCCAGGCCCCATCACTATGAAGACCCAGTCCTTTCCTTTGCCTTGAGATGATAGGGCTAGGAAGCATTGTGCCCTTCCCAGCTCTAAACTCCTGCCTGTGTACTACCAGTCTCTCTCTAAAATGTTCCAGCTCCACATCTGCTACTGGTTCTAACAGGAGGTGGGCAGCAGGTGGTAGAAGCAGATGCCAAGTCCGTTTAACTGTGTGATGGAGGAGAAAGCACGGGATTTCAACCAGAAGATCCCCCACTAAGGGACTGTGTGTCCCTGAGCAAGTCCCTTCCCCCTCTGGGCCTCAGTTTCCTGATCTGTAAAGTAATACCTGTCCCTCACCCTTCATGGGATCTTTATGGGGACAAAATGAGTTAATAGTTAAAACTGGACGTTGTGAACTACAGTGTGGATAGGAATTATTATTATTCCTCTTGGCCTTTTAGGCTGTGATCTCCTTTTAGCTGGAGCCAACAGGGCCCAGATCTGTGGGTAGCCCTATGACTGGGTCTCCAGGACTATCTGCAGCTGGGCAGGATGAACTGTGCCTGGAATTCCTGTGACACAGAGGAGAAGAAGCCTATAAAGGGAAGGTCAGGGCTTTGTCCCCCAGCTCAGAAGCCGTGGAGGCCCTGAGGGAATCCCTAACTTGGATGGGAGTTGGTGCTTTGAGGTTCCGTCTCCCATTGCATTCTGGCCTCCATTCTGACATACGACGGGTAAACTGGCCCATGTGCAGCACTAATGGAGGCTACGGGCTACCCTGAGGTGAGGCCAAGCCAGGCCACCCTCGGGAAGACCCAGGGCCAGCTCAGATCACATGGCTAAGCACCCGAGTCAGCTACCGTTCTCCTGCCTTTTGAGTCTTCAAAACTACACAGCTCTTGCTGTCACTGCAACTAGCTCTCTAGCAGCAAAGCAAGAAGGGAAACTGAGGTAGGACTTAGGGTCATTAACCACGGCAGGCTTTAGTGAAGAAAGCTGACCCTCCTAGCTCAGTGGGTCCCTGCCCATCTCTATGCATGACTTTCCTGGACTCTGTCTTTTGATCTGTGTCTCTTTGACTTGCATGTGAATTCCCTGAGGGCACAAGAGTCTTCCTCATTTCTTTATCCCCAATATCCCAACATCCACTGTGCCAGATACATAGTCACTCATTCATTCAATAGCTCTTATTGAGCACTGTGCTAGGTACTGGGGATACAAAGCTGAACAAGCTAGATAAGGTCCCTACCCTCATGGAGTTTATATTCTAGTGAGATAACACACAATAAAGATGCAAACCATGATAATTACAAATTATGACAAGTGCTGTTTAGGATATATGTTGTGATGTGGGCGGTGTTACTTGAGAGTAAGGTGCAGGGAAGGTCTGACATCTGAGCTGAGACATGAAGGATTAAAAGAGTCAGACAAGAACATCTTTGTTTAATAAACACGTGTTGCAAGGGTTGTTGTTATCAGCCGAATAGATGAATAGATACATGGTAGATGGATAGACTAACAGTCAGATAAACCGACTGGGTAGGTTTTGCTGTAAATGAGAGTCTCGCTACAGTACTATACCTAGTCCCCCAGCTTAACAGAAGAGAGGAGGGTAGGCCAAAAAAAAAAAAAAACTCTTTGAAATTGAGTGGATTCCGACTCTTAGTGACTGTATACGACAGAGTACAACTGTCCCGTAGGGTTTCCAAGGCTGAAATCTTTCTCCCGCAGGGCGGCTGGTGGGTTCAAACCATCGACCTTTTGGTTAGCAGCTGAGCACTTAACCACTACATCACCAGGCTTCTTGGAGGGTGGGCAGGGATGGATAGAATGGACCCAAGATTCCCCAACCTTGCTCTCACCTGAACGCGTGTTGAACTAGTCGAGCGGGCCCGAAGGGCCACAGGGGGGCGACCGAGAGCCCATTCATTTCCCCTTTAAGGCCAGGGCGGAAGGCTGGAGGGTGAAGGACTTTGTGTCGGCAGGTTAGAAATAGGTCGGCCCTTTAAGAGGGCGGAGACACTTGGAGTGGCGGCGGCTTCGAATGCGGCCCCCAGGTTCCCGGAGACTGTTCCTCGACCCCCGTCCAGGTCGCAGCGACGCCGCCCTCCGGCTCCTCCTAGGGGGCACCGTCGCCCGAACTCCGACCCTCCCGCCCGGGCCAAGTCCGAGGTCCCGGCCTGCCCCCCAGTCGGGGCCCGCCAGGCCAACCCACGGGCCGCAGCCCCCCCGCCGTCGCCATGGTAATGCCGCACCCACGGCGGAGTATCCCCGGCTTCTAGTCCGGGAGCCCCCGGACCCGCCCTCGGGGTTCCAGGCCCTCACCTGCGGCCGGGCGAGCTGCGAAGCCGGGGCCGGGGTGTGGGCAAGAGTTCGACTGGGGTCGGGAGATCTGGGCGCTGGTCGGGGCTTGGCGTGGACGCGCCAGGAGATTCTAGGAAGGCACTTCCCCTTTCTCTGGGCCTCAGTTTCCCTCCAGTTGGCTTCTTTTGTTGGAGAACTCCTGTTCATCCTTCCCTGCCCACTCAAACATCACTGCCGCCTGAGCCTGCCCGCACTCAGTTAACCCCCCTCCACCGTGACCCTTAGACAGTTAGAGGCGGGTATCTCTACTGTAGCTCTTGTTGCTCTGGCACATGGGGTTAGGCACAGCCCATGGCTCTGGGTTCATCTCTCATCTGGAGTTGGCCATAGCAACCCTGCCGCCTAGAAAGAAGGAACCATGGATTGGGGCACCCCATCCTCCTGGGACCGTAGAGTTGGTTTTTGAGCATAGATTAGGTAGAAGGAAACCACTGGCTTGGCTTTCAGAAACAAGTCCACTGTGCTGGGCATGTTTGGATTTATGGTGATTTCTCTTAGGTTTGATGAGGGTTCCTCAGGGATTTTGCAAAATCCTTAAGCCCATGTACACAGTGCTGAGTCTAAAGAACAGACCCATGCTCTCCTTAGCAGTCTTCCCTTTGCTCCCTACCCCCTTCCAGGATTAATGCAGGTGGATCTGAGTGGATTATTTTACAAGAGAGGATCCTAAATCGTCTAAATCTTTAAATAAATCCTATCTTCTCTCTCCTCATCCCTTATTTCTCCCCCAGCACTAGCAGAAAACAGTACACCTGATGGCCTTCTTGCTAGAATTGGGAAGAAGCGTAGAGAAGACAAAGTGTACTTGCAAATGGCATTTCTTCTCCAACCTCAATTGCTTTGTTTACCTTTCAGGCATGCAGGTTGCAGAAGCTGTTTGCTGTGGAAGAGGAGTTTGAAGATGAGGTAAGAAGTGTTGGTGATCAGAGGTGGCAGAGGAGGTCTTAAGATGTAAACACCCAGGCCTGGAACATTTGGGAGCAGCCAAATATATTTTAGTTGACATATATATCATTTTTGTTCATGAGAGGCTGAGAAATGCAAACAATCCACTTAACTGTCTCAGAAACAAACAAACAAAACCCCAGAGAGATAAGTTGCCTAATTGTCATACCTTTAAATTCTAAGGACCCCTGCTTGGAAGCTGTGTCATGTAGATGATTTAATTCACCTTCATGATGACAAACTTGAGGTGGGAAAAATGTTTATGGCGAGCTAGGGGAGTGTGGAATACAGCAAAGGGCCTGGGGTCACCAACTGGCTATGTGAGTCAGGGCAAATTACTTAATTCTATGGCCTTCCATTTTCTCTTCAGCAATATGAGGGGAGGTCCTCTACCTCAAATGCCATTCCCTTCCTTCCTCCCTTCCTTCCCTCTCCTCAATAGATGATATGTTAAGACTGGATCTCGAGCCAGCACATTAGAATCACCCGTGTCTAGGCCCCACACACCAATTAAATCAGAATCTCTGGGGATGGACCCAGGCAGGGGTATTTCTAATGTGCAGCCAGAGACCACTGAACCAGTGATCTCCACAGCTCCCTTCCTGTTCAGATCCAACGGATATAGTTTCATCCATGAGGGCTGAAATTGCTGCTTCAAATCCTTTTTAGAAAGAAGCAGGATTTAAGTGAGTAAAACCCAAAGAGGTAAATTAACCTGTTTAGAATACGGCACGAAGAGCCAGGATGAAGACTCAGCCTGCTGAACCTAGGCTAATATAATGCAAACCACTAAGACACATTTACTACAATAGAATTGTTCTGTTTTACCAGGGACAAACAGTTCAAAACCTACTTTTTATCTCTCAGTACTTTGCCTGAAAACTAGAACTCATTTCAATGTTGAATTTGTGTGCCAGGTATGGTGGTGGATGCTGCAGCAGGGGCCCTCCTGACAGCCCAGGCCCCACCCTCCCCTTCCTTGGAGGCATTTGGAAGCTGAGGTTTGAAGGGAACAAGGGACCTTCTTCAGACCTCTTAAAAACCAGTCTCTGGCTTGTCTCATTCACTGAGGACCTAAGGCAGAGGAACAAGGGCACTAGTCCTGGTTCTGTGGAGTTAACTAAACCTCTCCGAGTCTCAGTTCCTGCAGCCATAAAACGGGAATAATAGTAGTACCTGTTCATAGGGCCACTGTGAGAATTGATAGAGAGAATTCTGGTGAAGTGCTTACATGGAACCTGGCACCCAATGGGGTTTCAACCATTAGCTGTTTTTGTTATTACTTGGGGACTTGATTTGTGTTTTTACAACAGGAGATGTGTGCTTTTCTTTGTCTTTCAACTTTGGAGATTTGTGATTACAGACTGAAAAAGTGACTGTTTCAGTGACCCTCTGGGTCTTACCAGATGATGGCAGAACTGCTAGGCCAATAATGGAATTAGGGTGAAGGGTTCTGACAGGTCAAGTTTCCAGTTCATGAAAATGGCAGACTAGACCCTTTCCCCCTTACCCAGGCAGAATGACATCATGTCTGAGAGTGAGCTCTTTGGGAGGAAGGGGCTCCATCAACCCCCAGTATCATCAGGATTTTATTGCTGCTGTAATTCTAATCATCATTATTGTTATTGCTCAATCCCAAGGTGATCCTGCTGGAGTTTGTGACTCTCTTGATAATACACAAAGCAGGAAAAAACCTTTTTCTAGCCCAGACAAATGAATGCAGTGGCAGGGAGTGGGGGTGGAGGGGACCCTCCTGTCAGTTAAATCAGCGGTTCTGACTCAAAAACACCCTCAGAACAGGTCTGTTGCTCTTGAAGGTGTCAATCTCACCTTGCTTCCCAACTGGAATCCACATTTAATTTAACTTGCCTGAAAATCTATATTTAACTTCCGCCTATTTTGCTGGATCCAAGCTCTCTGGCTTACTGAAGGCAGTATGTGCGCGTGCGCGCGCGTGTGTGTGTGCGTGTGTGTGTATTGGCAGTGGGGAGTGGGCTGAGGACAGGCATCATGACCAGCTGGTTAGATCCCTGTTGCACAGGCTGGACCCCAGCAAGGTAGTCTCCTTGAGATGGGTGTGTGACCTTGGATTGGTTTGACTCGGTGGTGCCCTCATGTGTTTGCTTCTCCTGCTTCCATAACTGCCCCAGAGACTGAAGAAAGAGAAGCTACCTGAAGACTTCGTCTTAGAATGTTTCTGATAGAAGCCGGGCAGTAGGCTCATGGGCAAGGTCAAAGGTGACAAGAAACACTGTTGCCTTTCTGGCTTGTGTGTCTGCATGCACACATACACACCGCCTGCCTGAAACAGCAAAAACAGTGTTTCTTGATCTCCAGATGCCAAGACCCACTGTCTCTGCTCCCCTGTAGGATTTCTTATCTGCTGTGGAGGATGCAGAGAACCAGCTTGCTGGCTCACTGCTTGTGAATGCTGGGTGCCTGAGACCTGTCTCTTCCAGGCCACAGGCCACGGTGCAGGCACAGTCCTCTGGGTGGCTGCCGTCACACCACCCTGCTCCTTCTGAGACTTCTGGTCTGCCAGCCCTGGGACTCCGCCTCCCTACCTCCAGCGTGTCCAGGGCCATCAGGGGCCCCCCTTCCACAGGGACAGCCCGCCTAAGACCTGTCTCAACTCCCAGCAGCTGCACTGGCAATCAGAGAAGCATGACACTGACAGAAGTATCCAGAGAGCTAGCAAGACCCCAGTCCTCAGCCCCCCGGCCCCTGCCCACCTTGGAGACTCAACAGCAGGTGCTTGGTGGCCTTGAGGGGTCTGAGCAAGATGAATTTGATGCAGTCCTGGCAAGCATGGAGCTGGAGGGGTCTGGCATGGAGCGGAAACTTGGAGTTAGCAGTGAGGCCACAGGAGTCCTGCTCACCTGTCAGGGAGAGGACCCAGTATTGGCCAAAAAGGCCCGGGTAGCTGAGCTGAGTGGATGTTGCCCAAAAGGGTCTACTCTAGCCACCCACAACAGGCATGATGGCCCCATTTCAGTCCAGTGCCAGCTTCTGGATCCTGTTGTCCACGGCAGGCCTCCACAGTGCCACCTGAGACCTGGTACCTCGGGTAACCTTTCTATCCCAACTGCATCAACAGTTCCCACTCAACAAAGCCACTGGAGAGTCTGTGCCAAAGGCTCCCCTCTTCAAGCACACCAGCCTCTCCAAACTGCTGGAAGTTCTGTTCAGTGCAGCCCTCAAAACCATTTGTTTCGTCAGCCACTCCAGTCTCCAGGTGCCTGTTTAAGTGGCAAACCTCGATTTTTTGGACCAAAAACTCCCAACTCAGGCTGTTCTACTCCCTCAAGGGCTCGCTATGGATTCTGTCCACGGGGGCTCTCAGGGCCCCAATCTCCAGCGGCTTCTGTCGAGTCTCCTGCCGGCACCCCAAAGAGCCCACATTCCTCCCTGGTTCCCCAAGCAGCTCTGCAGACGCCGATAGTCACCAACCACCTGGTGCAGCTGGTCACTGCTGCCAACCGGACACCCCAGCTGCCCATGCACACCACCACCCAAGCCAAAGCCCGCCGCTTCCCTGGGCCAGCAGGGCTGCTGCCACACCAGGTGAGTGATGTCATCATCTCTCTGGCAGTGGCCAGAGCTCTCCAGGGCGTTGGTGGGCCAGGGAGTATGCAGAGTGCCAGCACTGTCCAATCCTAGTGTGTCTTCACTCCTGGAGTGAGAGAAGGGAGCAGAGAGGGAGGGTTTTCCAAGCTGTAGAAGAAGTCAAAAGAGGTAGGAAGGAAGAATGAGATGCTTGTAAAACCACACGTGAGAGAGGTGCTTAGGATTCTGAGAATTTACAACTTTCATATGTTTATTGAGCACCAACTGTGTGCTAGGCACAGAGGCAGGAGGCTTCACTCACATTTGCTAAGGGCTTGTATGAACTAGGTAGTTTGCTTGGAACTAAGAATACAGAGGTTAAAACAGAAATAGGCCGGTCTTTAGGAGCTTACAGTGTAGTGCAAGATGCGGGCACAAACAAGGATGATACCCAGAATGCAGAGTGTGAGTGGAGGACATTACCTTCATGCTGGGAGGCACTGGCCCTGCCTTGGGCTTGCCGAGGGGGATTTAGGTGGGTGAGTAGGAGGTTAACAGGTGTGGAGGGGGCACTGTGCTCTGGGGGACATTCCAGCAGTGGGAAGACAGGGAAGAACATGCACAAAGACACAGGAATCAGAGCGGGGCGCTCTTTGAGATTCACAGGACAGCTTGTGGGGCTGATGTATAGGGGTCAAGATGGGGAAGCTGGGGCTGAGAAGGAGACAGGGCCCTGCTGAGAGTTTGGATTTAAGCAGTGGGGGAAGGACAGTCTTGGGATACCAAACCAAACCTGTTGCTATCAAGTCAATTCCAACTTATAGTGACCCTGTAGGACAGAGTAGAACTGCCCCATAGGGCTTCCAAGACTGTACACCTTTATGGAAGCAGACTGCCACATCTTTCTCCCTTGGAGTGGCTGCTGGGTTCAAACTGCTGACCTTTTGGTTAGCAGCTGAGTTCTTAACCACTGCACCACCAGGGCTCCTTAGTCTTGGGATAGAATGCCAGATAATTGGGCTCTGAGATTCTTGTCTGATTGTGATAGGTGCACCCCTTTCCTCCTCATTTTAAGGGTGTTTGAAACCATTTCTGCCTGTTGTTTGCTCTTCTCTAGCGTTTTAAAGAGAATCCAAGGAGACCATCTATGTTCCTCTTGGGCTGATCTCCCTGTAGGGAAGAGCTAGGCCTCCAGAAGGGACTTGGGGAAAGCCTCCCTTTGGCTCAACATAAGCCCTGTTTGGGTCATCGCCCCCTTCAGGCAGCCCTGGATTTTGCTTCCGGGCCAGCTCCAGCTTCCTCACATTTCCAAAACGATCCCCAAAGCATCTTTTTTGAGCTGCTGACGAGGCTTCTGAGACTTTGTTAGAAGAGATGTAATATGTGTTAATTGTCCCTGATAGTTTCCTGAACTCATTATATAACCCGGACTAGAAGCTATACTTGTAAATAACAGCTGCTGAGTTTGCTCTCACCTTCTCCTTGCTCCCCTCTTAGCATAGTGGGAAAAATCTGGAGGAGATTATGGTTTCCACGCCCCAGACTCCAACTCATGGTGCTCTGGCTAAATTCCGGACGGAGGTAACTTATTCCATATGAGTGTTAACTTCCTGGGGATCATTTGAGAGTGAGGGGCAGCCATGCATGTTTCAGGAGTTGAGAAGCAGAGTTAATGCCTGTTCTCTGCCGTCACATACCAGAGGGCATTTGGAGAAGGCGGTTGGGGGAGGTGGCAGTTTTACTGGCATAAAGTGAGGCCTGTTCTGTTGCCAGCCAGGCAGTCACCAACGCCATGGGTCCAGCCTTCTTTTGCTACCCACGAAGTAAAGGCCCAGCTAGTTCCATCTTCCCATGGGGGAGGAAAGTGTCTTAAATATTACGAGATTGTATCTCAGGAACCCTGCTCAGGTTTCTGGGAGCGGAGCAGGGAAGGATCTGCCTTCATTTTGCCTACACTGTTTTATTTTGGTGGGTGGGACCCAGCCTCCCTCCTCCTTGGGATTCTGGCTGACCTGCTCTGTCCTCACTCTCAGTTTTGATTTTTCTGTTTGCTGTAGCTCTGCAGATCTGCCAAAGCAGTAGATATCCACCTGGATTCAAAGCATTTAGTAATGTAAGAAGGTTAATGATTAAAGCTAGAGACATCCCAAATACGTATGTGACTGGTTTTAAAGTGGCTAAGACACTCTGTAAACTTGTCAGCGTATGTGGGGGCTGCCTGCCGCTAAGACTTTTTGAGTCTTTTATAAGACACAAGCCTGGATAGCCTTAGGCTTCAGTGTAATTAAAGTCAGGACCTGGTTTTTTTCTTTCTTTCTTTTTTTTTTTTTAAGAGCAACCTTTCCAATAGCTGCTTAGTAACAGAAGTGGCATGCAACAAGATTTCACATACCACTTTCTGGGCTTGGAGACAACTGAGAGGAGGGACTATGGCTGCCATGCCCCACAGAGCTTTTCTCAGGGCACTCTCCTGTCCTCCCTCACCCCACCGTCCTGTCTCAGTCAAGGGGCTGTAGCAGGGTGGATCCCTTAACACAGGCTCCCCCTCTGCTCTGTGGTGCCAGATTGTTGCTAGTTCCCAGGCATCAGTAGAGGAGGATTTTGGGCGAGGCCCTTGGCTGACCATGAAATCTTCTCTGGGCCTGGATGAGAGAGACCCCACCTGCTTCCTCTGTACCTACAGCATCGTCATGGTGTTGCGAAAGGTAAGGTCCTGGGCACCGAGACCCGAACCAAGACCTTTCTCCAACTGTCTGGCCCACCTCCAGAAAGGAGCTATCTCTTTCCTCCCTGTTACCCCAGGCCTGTCTCTTTGGTTGTATCCTTACTCCCCTACCTTTCATTACCATCCACAGCATTGGGGACAGGCAGGAGAGGGTGAGCATGGGCACATCTCTGCACCTCTGGGCCCCTGAGTGGGTGGGGTAAGAACCCTGCTGCCCTTTCAGCTCCCAGTGGTCAAGGGGTGGATGCAGACACCTGTCAGGACATGTGCTAACACAGCCCTGCCGGCGGCAGTGGGGTGCTGTATAAATCAGCTTCAAACCGGTTCATTCCGGTTCGAACCCCTGCTGAGAATTTGCATTTCCACCCTCAGGTATACTGAATCAGAATCTACATTTAACAAGATCCCAGGGGAAGTTCTATACATAAGATTCTATACATGCAAATTCTCAGCAGGGGTTCGAACTGGAATGAATCAGTTTGAAGCCCTGGTATAAATACATATACACAAGGAAGGAGAAGGGAGAGAGGCAAAGGGCCTGCCAGCCTCTTCAGGTCTGCTAGAGGGGGTGGGATGATCCCTGTAAACTGCCCCTGGGTAGGGCTGCCCTTTGTCCTCCACAGAGGAAGATCATCCCCACACCTGTGCCCTCCTACCCCTCATCCGCTCATTTGTCTGGTCCACTTGGAAACCTGGGAAATTACAAGTCGTCCATGGCTGGCTCAGCAGATGCCTTTCCTCGTAAACAGGCTGCTCTGAAGCAGCTGCCCAGGAACAAGGTCCCCAACATGGCGGTGATGATCAAGTCCCTGACCCGGAGCACAGTGGACGCCAGCGTGGTTTTCAAGGACCCCACGGGTGAGGAGTTAGGTCCTGGGAGTGTCTGATGAGTGCCCTCTGTTGAGATCAGGAGGTGAGGAGGAGTCACCCTCTCCATTTGCAGCTGGGAAAATGGAGGCAGTGAGCAGCCTACTTTCCCAGTCAGGCCCCAGACCAGCCCCTGTGCTGCCTGGACTCTAAGGCTGACGGGCCTGTATGGTGTTTGCAGGGGAGATGCAGGGGACAGTGCACAGGGTGCTGCTGGAGATGCGCCAGAATGAGCTGAAGCCGGGCTCAGTGCTGCTGCTGAAGCAGGTAGGGCAGCTCCCAGTGGGGACCTGCGCCGCCCCCACCCAGGGAGAGCCCCTGAGGTGTCTGTCTCCACATCTGTCGGCTGCCTTCCCTCCCAAGACCAGGCAGTGAGTGGCTGGGCTGCTGCTAGGCCCTGGCTGGCTGGAGCTGAGTGAAGGCTTGTGGCTCCTGTGCACAGGACACCAAAGGAGAGGCAGGTGGGGACCAGGTGGCCTAGTGCTCCACCAGGGCACTGACCCTCCCCTTCCTCTGCTCCAGATTGGAGTGTTTTCTCCTTCGCTCCGGAATCACTACCTCAACGTGACGCCCAACAACCTGGTCCGTATTTATAGCCCAGATTCTGGGGTTGGGAACTTCCTGAAGCCATCTCAGCCCTTCCCCAAGGTAAGAGGGGCAGGATGAGATGGGGACTGATGGAGCCCCCTTCTTTCCCTCCCCTACCCCGGGGAACAGAGGTGTGAGGGAGGCAGTTACCTGGAGGTGAAGAAACAGCTTTGGGCACAGGGCCATTTTTTCCTGTCCCTGGTCCATCCGCCCACCAGACAGCACAGTAACAGTCCCTAAAGGAGTAGCTGGCTTCTTGGTGATCCCTATGTCCGATGGCAGGCTTGAGCATCTGAGAGGCTAGGAGTCACTTGAAAACTAATTAAGTCGAAGGTCCACCAGGGGGTGGTGGCAGGAAATGACTGAAGGTTGGATCTGCTACAGGGGCCAGTGGGAGAGACCAGTGAGCTCCACATGGCTTGTCAGGTGAACCAGCACTTGCTCTGCATCTTCTCTCCTGGCCTCTGCCTGTGCTAGGTGACAGGGACCCCACACAGAGCTCTGGTGGGGACACCCCCTTTAGGAACTGAGGTAAGCATTTGGGATCTGTTCGAGGTGAATGGGCTTCCAGCTAGGGTGAGAGTGCAGAGCATGGGCTTGATTCAGCACATGGCCATCACTTCTGTGGCCACCCTGCCCTTTCTGGGGTCCTGGGCTGTTGTCATGGCCTGGCCTGGGGCTGAGGTCCAGGGTCTTATCCCAGCTCCGCTGGTAATGTGCAGCGTGACCTTGGGCAAGGCTGGTCCCCTCCCCTGCTATTGCTTCATCTATAAAACCAGTAGGTTATTCTTGGTAACCTCTGTGCCCTTTAGCTCTTTCTGCATTTCTCTCATCTTTCCCCCTCTTCCTCCATATTCTTTCAAAAGTATATGATCTCCCAATTTCTAAAAAATAATTTCTATTTTTCTAAATTCCAAGTCATCCGTACTCATTGAACAAAACTGAAATGGTGCAGAATGAAGTAAAAAGTGGTACTCAGCCTTCCCCACTCCCATCCTTTAGAGCTAACTAACCATGGTTAATAATGTAGTGATTTTGATTACTGGCCCATAATATTACCTATTTTGGGGATTATTGGCAGATAATTTTTAATCCCAGGCTAACTCAACACATTTCTGAATGGCCTCTTCTTTCTGCTCTAGTCCTCAAACCACCAGATACCAACAGAATTAAGAAAGAAAATCAGCCAAAAATGTTGGTTTTGAATTACCTGCTGTTTTGGGTGTTCAGCGTTTCGGCTCCCTCCCCTCAGCAGGGGCCTGACAACTGACTGGCCCTGGCCATGCTCCTTCACTTGTCTCTTTCCTGAGCCCCCCACCTATTTCTCTGAGGTGGTCTGGGTGGAGACAGCTCCATTGAGAGGGATTCCAGGGGCACAGTCATTGTAACCAGATCCTCTGCCCCAGGATCTAGGAAGCTTCCATGGCAGCCTCCAGCGTGATGTGGATCCGAAGTCCAAGGAAGACCTCAGAACAGCACAGGATCCAGAGGCAGGGGCGTCCCCCGAGGAAGAGCACTTGGAAACAGGTAAGGCAGTCAAGTCATCCAGGAGCAAGAGAGATTTTCCTTCTATTTTCTTCTTCTTCTTTTTTTTTAATAATATTGTGTTTTGGGGGAAAGTTTACACTGCAAGTTAGGTTCCCACTTGACAGTTTCCACACAAATTGATGAATGACTTTAGTTACATTTTTCACAATGAGTCAGCATTGTCTTTAGTTGTGTTTTGATTGTTCCATTTTTAGTATCTAGTTTCCCTGCCCCCTTATCTTCTCATCTTTGTTTTGGATTAAATGTTGACCTTTTGGACTCATATAGACGGTTTTTTAGTGGAACACCAATCTAATGAATAATATCTTTTATTTTGTGTGTCACTCTTCTTTTCTGCTAAAAGGTGATCTCGGGATAGCCTGGTTCAAGGTTTGAAGAGTGTCTCAGGGCAATAGTCTCAGGGAGTCCTCAGGTGGTCCAGTTAGTTTGGCCTTTTTTAAGAATTTGAGTTTTGTTCTACATTTTTCTCCCATTCTATCCAGGATCATCTCTTCTGACCCTGGTCAAATCAGCCAGTGGTGGTAGCCGGGCACCATCTAGTTCTTCTGGTCTCAGGGTAGTCCTTCTATTTCTTCTTGAATAGCTCAGCCTCCATTTTCCAGGCTGTCATCTTATTCCTCTTTCTGTGAGTTTTTAGATCTGACAGAAATCAGATGTGGTATCTTGTTTGGCAAGGCTTCAGGTCACGAACTAGTTAATGACGTGATAAAACTCCTTGCCCCGATGAGTCGATTCCAACTCATAACAACCCTATGATATGACGGGGGCCACATAAAGCAATATGAGTGTGATCTACAGGCCTCCCCGATTTCCAGACCCTATGCTATTAGCTACCAGATGGCCAGGCACTATCCTTATGCCCTACTTGGAGTCTTCTGTGGGCTGATGACCAGACCACAGAGGCAGATTTCCCTATCCTGATTAAGTTCAGGGGCCCTTTAGGGAGGAGACCAGACCAGGATACAGACTTCTTGGGGATAGGCCAGCTGATTCCTCAGGAGGCAGCATCACCCAGATGATGCTAACATAGTCCATGGTCTGATCTTTAGCTTTTCAATTCCAGAAATTCAACCCTGTGTGGCCTCAAAGTTCATGGGATTGTAGATGGGTGTCTCACACTAACCAAATTCACAGGAGACTAATGGATTAACCACAAAGCCCATTTATTCATATCCTGTGAAAAAGCATCTGTCCTTTATGCTGGAAGTTCGCGTTGTCTGGGATCTTGCACTCTCATTATAAGTAAGCTTGATGACAAGCCAGATCATCTTCAGAAGGTTGCTGGTGGTCATGGAGTAACCTTCTGGTGGAGTTAGCTATAGAATATCGTGGCTGCTGTCACATCCATTGTAGGGGCAGATCTGCCAAACAAGCAAACTGCTGGTGGTGACTTCCTCCTGTGGTTTCCTGATGCCATCCATTAAATGGATGTTTTACAGTTGGAAACAGTGGCTCTGGGAGTCAGATGGAGCCTGAGTGTGCTTACCTGGGCAAATGGTTTTATCTCTTTTTAAGTCCTGTTCTTTCAGGTAAAGTGGGGGTTATAACAGAAGCTGCCATGAGATGCCCTGTGCCCTATTGTTAAGAGACTTAACAGTAAATGATGAGCGTAATGTGCTTTGCCCTGTGCCTGGCACAGAGCAACCACCCAGTAAGTGTTAGCTATTACTGTTAACAATAATAACATCAATAGGAATTACTGAGACCAGCTCTGTTTCCAAATTCTCGGACGTAAGCGCCCTGGCTGAGAACTGCAGTCAGGAGCAGTTACTCTCATTCCTTACGCCTACACTGGCACTTTGTGGGAGGGGGTGATGTCTCCCACTCTTCAGATGAGGACCAGATGAATGAACTTCGTAATTCTGAACACATCTAATAGCTTTTCCCAGCCTTGTTTCTCCCTCTGTCAAATGAGAGGGCTGCGTTAGGGGACATTGAAGCATTCCTGCTCGGGCACTGTACCTGTGGGTGGAAATAGAGGAACCATTGAGTCCCAGAGGGGTGCTCTTTCTGAGCAGAATGGCCTGGGGATTATGCCTTTTGTTGTGTGTGGGTATGTGGGAACCAGAGGGAAGATGGAAGGCAGACCAGCCTCAGGCCCATTGGCACAGGCCCCACTGCCCAGGGGGAGCCACCTCGCCAGCTATACAGACAGGCCAGGCCTCCTGGGGAAGCAGGAGCTTTGGACCCAAATCATGTGAAGCCCTATTGTTGGCACTAACCACCACCCACCCCTGCTCTGCAGATGACCTGGATGGGCTCCTGAGTGAGCTCCCTGAGGACTTCTTCTCTGGGACCAGTAGTTGGGACTACCCCAAGGCAGGGCACCCGCCGTGAGCAGGCAGCCTCTCGGCACCCAGGCAAGGCTCTGGATGTGTCTGACCATGCCCAAGGGAGAGAAGACAACCAGCAGAATTGGAGAGTACATAAAGCATGGGGCCCCTGTGGATGCTACACCCTGGATGCTTTCCCTGAGCACGTCTTCATCCCTGGGATTCTGCACTGCCGTCACTTCGGGTCTTCTGTTGGCATTCCAGAACCAGGCCTAAGGTTGGCTCTCCAGCCTTCCAGCCCTCTGGTGCATCAGTCCTTCTTCTGCCAACAGGGAAGATGTGTCACCTCCAGTGTCACTCTCCCCACCTCATCTTGACTTTAGAGGGGATTGGATCTCACGTCCTCATCCCTTTACTCCCTAGTCCCTGGACAGCTGAGGAGCTGAGAGGAGCCACACCACAGAAGTGGCGACCTGCCCCTCTGACCTGGGAAGGACACACTCAGACTTGCCTCTGCTTTGTCTCTTGAGGCCTGTAGCTGCCTACATAAAGGTGCAGGGCCAGGGGTGTGGGCTGTTGTACCGTGTTCTGAAATAAAGCAGCCCTTCCTCAACTGCCTCCCCTTCCTTTCTGCCCCGGCTGCTGCTGGTTGTCCTGTCTGCCCTGCCGGCGGTACTTGGCCAGATCGGGGCTCCGGCAGATGCCCAGACCAGGGCAGAGCCAAGCAACTCTTTTTTTCTTTTCTTTGTTTTTTAATAAACTTTTTATTTTAGACAGTTTTAGATTTGCAGAAAATCGAGAAGATAGTACAGAGTTCCCACATACCCCATACCCAACTTTCCCTGTTATTAACATCTTACACTTGTATGGTACCTTTGCCACAATTAACGGACTGGTGTTGATACATAATTATTAACTCAAGTCCATACTTCATTTATATTTCCTCAGTTCCCTGATGTCCTTTTTCTGTCCCAGGACCCCAGCCAGGATAGCACACACATTTAGTCGTCATGTCTCTTTAGGCTCTTCTTGGCTGTGGCAGTCTCTTGAGACTTTGTTTTAGATGACTTTGACAGTTTTGAGGACTGGGCAGGCATATTGTAGGGACACCCTCTATTGGAGTTTGTCTGATGTTTCTTAATAATTAGAGTCGGGTGTGGGTTTTGGGGGAAAAGACCATAAAGTGCCATTCTCATGCCATCATCTCAAAGTATATACATACTGTCAACATCACTTTTGATGTTGACCTTGATCCCTGGCTGAGGTAGTGTTTGCCAGGTTTCTCCACTGGAAAGTTACCTGCTCCCCTTTCCATATTGTACTCTTTGGGAAGAAGCGCTATGAGCAGCCCACACTTGAGTTGGGGGTTAATGCTCCACCTCCTTAAGGGTAGAATATCTACATAAACAATCTGGAATTCTGCTTGGGAGATTCGTCTATTCTCCCTCATTTAGTTGTTTAATCATTTATTTATATCAGTGTAGACTTGTGGATATTTATGTTATTCTTTGGGTTATTTTGATGCCAAGCAACTTCTTTATTGCTGTAACTTCTCTGTACCACCTTTCAAACCCAAGTTGGACAAGGGACATGGATAGGGTGTAGTAGGTCTAATTATACCAAGTTGCCAACCTTGTTTTCCTATCTGGAATGAAGGGCAGAAGGGAAAAACTCCCAACTCATGGGTGGTGGGGAGGGGGTGGTCTAAAGATCCCAGTTTGATTGCCAGCCTCCCTTGCCTCTCAGCTTTAGAGTTCACTAAGCAACTAAGAGCTGGGGGCCTCCTGTAGGCTTGGCACTGCTCTGGAGGAAGGCATTAATCTCTACATTTTCCCAAAGAGAAGCTGATGCCATGGATTCCAGTCTTAAGGCTGAAGTGAGCAAGTGCTTTAAGAACTCCATGCTCAGCTGGTTGCTGATTGTAGTGGGGCCCTTTTCTAGGAGGCTTTTGTGCTCCTAGGCCAGGATCAAGAAGGGGCTAACTCAACCAGCAGCCTTGTCCCTTCCCACTGCCATTTGGTCTTCTTGCCTAAGTAGACCATGCACTTTTCTCCCACTCTTCTTCCACCCCTGCTAACTCCCCAGCTCTGCCTATGTGGCTTAGATCTGGGCCACAGCCATCTACTCCGTGTGGTCTTCCTGCACCTAAACCACCCGGTGCCTCTGGCCTGCAGTGCTCTTCCCCACTCTGGACTCCCTGAGCCCTGGTATCTGCTGCTCATGGTCCTGACGGATCCCCAACTGCTTCACGTCCTGCATTCTCGTGCTATGCTTCTTGGCCCCACAGGCTCTGAGCTCCCAGAAGACAGGCTGGACACCTAATTGCCAGGCACTGTTCCTCCATCAGAACTTCTGGGCTCCCTATGGGCCCATGGGTGGATTGAAATAAAGGCCTTTTTTTGCCTTCAGGATGCTAACATTAAGGATGAGGAGACAGACAGAACACACTAGCTCTGGGGACTAAGCTATAGTCAGCACCTTCAGGCCTGTGTGGCAGGGAGGCAGGATAGATGCTGGGGAGGTCAGCATAGCCGTGGGCCCACAAGCCATGACTATTGTGTGCCTCAGGGAGAAAGAGGATACCCACCCTGCCTTGCGAGTCTCCCAACCCTGGGAACTCAGCTGTGGGTTCTCGGTCAGGCCGTTGGCACGGCAATTAAAACACCGAATAGGTTCCAACAGGGTTAATCACAGCTGCATTTATAGAGGTGCCTTTCTCTGAGAATCTCTTAGTTATCTAGTGCTGCTATAACAAATACCACAAGTGGGTGGCTTTAACAAACAAATTTATTTTCTCACAGTTTAGGAGGCTAGAAGTCTGAATTCAGGGTGCTAGCTCTAGGGAAAGGCTTTCTCTGTTGGCTGCGGAGGAAGGTCCTTGTCTCTTCTGAGCTTCTGCTCCTGGGCGGTCTTCATGTGGCTTGGCATCTCTCTTCCCCCATCTCTGTTCTGCTAGCTTGTTTAATCTCTTTTATATCACAAAAGAGATTGACTCAAGACACACCCTACACAAACACTGTTCATTAGCATAACAAAGACAACCCATTCCCAAATCAGATTATAACCACAGGCACAGAGGTTAGGATTTACAACACATATTTTAGGGGGACACAGTTCAATCCATAACAGTCCCAAGCCCTTGCTGGGCGTGATCTAATCCCACCTCTGGGATCCCCCACCCGGGAATACCATCAGGAAGCTGGGGCCAGGCAGAGAGTAGAAGATCAGCTGGGTAAGGGCAGAAAAAGCCCAGGCTGCTGGGCAGATGGGTGTTTGTTCTGGAAGAGAATAGGGCCCTTCATTCAATGCACTACACGTAAGAGGCTGGCCTGCTATGAGCCAAGTGCTCCTAAATACCACATCCCAACCTACTATGTGCCAGGACCAGAAACACAACTGAATAAATTCAGGTCCTGCTCTGGAGCCCACTGGGATAAGTGTTCTACCAAGTGCACGGGAAGTCCTTCAGGAGCACACACTGGGAAGTGGCCAGAACCATGCGGGCGGGTGGGGCTGGGGGCTGGGGTTGCCGTAGGGATGTCTCCACAGAGCAGGCTACCTCTGAAATGGACTTTGAGGAATAAGTCAGAAGGGAATTCCAAGCCGAGGGAAGGGCCCTGAGAGGGAATGGTGAGGAGCTGTAATGAGAATGTTTTGTAAAGTGAAGCCAAGCAGAGGAATTGGGGCTTAGCTGGAGAGGGTAGGAGTCGGAAGTCAGTGGACATTTTCTAGCAAGAGAATGATCTGTTTTAGACAGATCATTCTGGCCAGTGCAGCAGAGAGGGGTGCAGCCCAAAGAAGGAACACCAGGTAGGAGGCTGGCTTGATCCAGGTTAGAAATTTCAAGGGTCTGAACTTCCTATGGTAGCTGAAAATGTTAGAGCAGGAGCTAGAACTTGTATGAGGGGACCCAGGACCCAGGGAGAAGAGGAAGTCAAAAAGAGCTGAGCTGGGGGCTGCTGCAGGGCCAGGGAGAGGAGGAAGTGAATTGCTGTAGGAGGCAGACCAGCTAAGACCTGTAGCTGGATGGGCTTGGGCTTGACAGACAGACCCTGAGTGGCAGTGACAGAGAGGTCAGCTGCTCGCACATTGACTGAGGTCCTGGGTTAGGAGAACCTCTGAGGGCAAAGGGCTGACCCTCCCTCCCTTTCTGCAGCTTGGCAGCCACACAAACTGTTCCCAGGCCCAGCCAGGTGCTGTTTCATGGACGCATTCCTCCCCCTAGAGGCTCCTGGAAGCAAAGCTGCTTTCTCCTAAGGGTGAATGGGTTTGTGGCTTCACAGCCCCTTTGGTCAGAGACCCCAGAGTCGTGAAGTCAACCCTTGGCCCTCCTCAGGCAGGGATGTGGGTAATTAAAAAAAAAAAATGTTTTTCAAGAATCAGAGAGTGTAGTTTCTAGAGACCATGCTGTCCACGTGGGGATGAGGGAGCGGGGCTTTCACAAAGGTCTTTGCTACATGGCCACAGCAGCTGGAGGGAAGAGCGCCACCTATGGGGTCAGGCTGACTGGGGTCCTAGTTTTGGCTCCACCCCTCACAAGCTGTGTGATCTTGAGTGAGTCATTTGACCATGTTAAGCCTTGAGTTCCTCTTCTGTAAAAGAGGGATAAGACCACCCATCTCAAAGGTGTTGAACTGTGAGACAGCCTTACCATGTAATTTACTGTCCAAGCCAAATTATTGATTTCCTGGGCAAGCTGGGAAGTATGTTCACCCCAGTGAACATGAATGTGAATGTGATTTGAATATTGTAAAGCTCTTGTACATATTACTACGGATGCCTGGAGAAGTTGTTCTCTACCTCCCTTACTTCCTGGGCTGAGGTCTGCCCTCTCCCCTTGGAGTGAGCCAACACCAGAGCGGTGGGAGGACCCTGCCTCTTCTTCCTTGGCCTGCCTATCTCCCTGAATGACTGTTTCACTCACCTTGCCAACCAAGACATACTCCTCCAACAGAAGTAGAAGGATGGGGACTCTGGGGTCCAGGGGTGGCCTCAGCTGAGGGCCCGGTGCCAAATCAGAGGGTATTAGCAGAGACAGAGGCTGGCCCTAGCCCTGGGCTGGGGGTTGGCCCAGCACCTCTGCACCAGGATCATGACTCTGGGCAAACTGTTTACCGGAGCAGCAGAGGGGCCTATTTATAGCCTCAGCTGCTCCTCTCTCTGGCTCATGCGTGAGGGGGCAGGGTGGCTCCTCAGAACAAGGGTGGTAGCTGGGCCTAGGGAACCTGGCTCTGCCCAGGTGTCCCTGCCCAGATACCTGTGCCCCTCCCCATGGCGAGGGAGACCTTCCCCTTCACCTCCTCCACGCTGCGCTCTCTCCGCCTACAGCAAGAGTGGCTGGAGTGGGAGGACAGGCGGCGGGCTGTCGCCCACCAGTGCCGGAGCCGCAGGTGCCCCCCCAGCCCCCGAGCCCGACTCACTAGGCCTCGCCGTTCCTGCCGTGACCCAGCTGTCCACAATGCCCTGTTCTCCGGTGACCTACAGCAGGTCCAAGCCCTGTTCCAAGATGAAGAGGCTGCCAACATGATTGTGGAGACCATGAGCAACCAGCTGGCCTGGTCAGCCGAACAGGGTAGGGAGCACCAGGTGGGGGCAGAAGAGGAGGGAGAGAGAGCAATGGAGGGGGAAAGTCTAGGCGCCATCCCCCTTCCAAGCCATAGACCGGACTGTCCCTCTCCACCACCCATTCTACTCCTTCCTAAACAGAGATGAGTCAGTTAGTGGTTTCTATGTCTTTTCAGAATTAGGAGTTTTTTTCTGTCTATAAAAATAATAATCACACCTATTAAGAGTAACACAGTTATATTCTAACACAAATTTTTCCTGCATATATACAGATATCCACATATGAATATTTTTCTTTTATAGAATGAGACACTCCACCTTCTGTTACATAACCTGCATTTTTCATGTAACATCTTTCCATCTCAGTAAATATAGCCCACATAATATTTTACATAGGTGCATAAATTCTACTGTATGCATGTGCCATGATTTATTTCACTAACCCCCAAGTAGACTGGGTTCTTTTTTTTTTTACTATTTTAAATAACAATATGATAAACATCTTTGTGCACTTGCCAGATGATTTCCTTAGGAAACCAGAGGTTTCTATATATAAACCAAATACCTCAACTGAGGCAGCCCTGCTCTTTAGATCAATAGGAGATTGCCTGAACCACAGCCATGGATTTGGGGGTTCAAAATCCTTGGAAGAACTTATGGTCTCACAATCACCAACCAGTTAAACCAGTTGTCATGGAGTCGATTTCGACTCATGGCAACTCCATGTAGCCAGAGCAGAACTGTACTCTATAGGGCTTTCAGTGACTGATTTTTCAGAAGTAGATCACTAAGCCTTTCTTCCGAGGTGCCTCTGAGTGGACTCGAACCTCCAACCTTTCAGTTAGCAACTGAGAGCGTTAACCATTCACACCACCCAGGGACTCTCACAGTCACTACAGGCTCTAAATTCTTGCTTGGCTGCCAACAGTTCAGTTTGGGTGTGACCCCACCCCTGGCATCCTGATCTTGTCCTGCAGTATGTCAGTCATCCCCCAAATGAAACTCAACCTCTTATTCCTTAATTTCAAACCTAAACACAAAGCAAAACAAAACAAGGCTTTACCCAAAATTTAGGAAGACCGGATTTACTTTGCTGCAATGCAAACAATTTACAATTCACTATCATGGCAATGGGTTTGGTTTTCATTAGGCATCTATGTCCTTTAAACAAGTCCTGACTATTTCCACGGTTTGGGGTATAACACCAGTCACATGGATCCGCCTCTCTCCCTGCTCTTTCTCCCCTCTCCTCCTACTCTCTCCCCACTTCCCACCCCTCACCATTACCCCAAGGAGTATGCTTAAACTCCAATCTCCAAACGTCTCCAGTTCTGCTCCTTGGCCACTCACAAGCTGGGCTCCAGGCCCTCCTCTGTATAATAACTTCCCTCCACACCCAAAGCCTGAGGGCCCAGGTGAACAAAAAGAGCCATCAACTCTATTAGCAGCTCAAAGACCCTGTTTCCTTAAAGGATCTACCCCTCTTCGTTGGCTCTCTGTGGTTTTAAAGAGCAATTAATTTTTTTTTTCCTATGACACACACACTATGGTTAGATTGCCAAAGCGTTCTAAAAGGCTATTCCAGTTTACCCTCCCATTGCACGGCTTTTCGGACCCCTTTTCTGTGGTACGGCCTGGCACAGTGTTTGCGCTCAGCAAACTGCAGAGGAAAGGCTAGCCACTGGCCACAGACCAGCATCCCCACTCCCTGCCCTGCCCACCGGTCTGCCACACTCCCCATCCCAACACTGCCTGCTCTCTCCAGGGTTCTGGGTGATGACCCCCAAGACCAAGCAGACGTCACCTCTCACCATTGCTGCAGCCCGAGGCTACACCGACTGCGCCCGCCACCTGATCCGGCAGGGGGCTGAGCTGGATGCCCGCACTGGGGGCTGGGCTGCCCTGCACGAGGCCTGCGCCCGGTCCCAGTCTGACTGTGTGCAGCTGCTGCTGACCTTTGGCGCCAAGGCCAATGTGCTGTCCGAGGAGGGCACTGCCCCCCTGCACCTCTGTACAGCCCCCAATTCTTTGCAGTAGGTGCCCAGGGGATGAGATGGTTGGGGAGGTGTGTGGGGGGGTGGGGGTGGGGTGCGTGTGTGTGTGTGTGTCCCACTCACACGGCCAGGAGAAGGGGAGAACTTAACATCTATATGCAGCTCTGTAGTCCCGAAGCACCTCACATACATGTATTCCCGCAATAACCGGGGAGACAGGCCTCATGCTATGGATGAGAAAACTGAGACTCAGAAAAGTTGAGGGACTTGTCCAAGGTCACATATGCTAGGCCCTGGAGGCAGAGGCCCAGCTGCTTTTTGGAAAAACCCTGTTCCAACTGCACCGTCCTATTTCCTGTGAATCTTCTGTAGCCAAATTCCTAGCTGTTTTGAGGTGAGCACCAAAAAAGACCTATCCTGGTGTTTCCCAGCCTCAGTATGAGGCCCCATATCTCCTTCTCCCACTTTCTGAAGTTAACTCCCTGCTTGATGGTATCTGCGCTCTCACAAATTAGGTCTACAGACCTGGCGGTGGTAAGGACTCGATTCCTGGGAGACACTCCACAGCCCACCCGCTGGGGATCTGTCCACAGCTACAGCTAGGTCAGTGATGGACCTAGAAGTGATCCAGATTTGCCAGCCCTTTCTTGGGCTCTTATGTGCATGTGATGTACCTTTCCACAGACTCTATATCCTTTTAAGGAAGGTGAGAACAGCCACTTTCTAGAACCCTACTGAATGAGTTTTAAAGTGTTACTTAAATTTAGCATTCAGAAACCAAAATTAGCCCATGATTAGAATTTACTGAGAAAATAAATTCAGTCATTTATGGAAGACTGGCTGCTGCCAACTGTTGGCCACTGAACAAAGCATCTACTGGACCTGCACCTACTGAACCTGTGCAGTGCAGGAGCGCTGGGATTCTGGCCATTTGGGGGAAGGACACCTGCTTATCAGGGCTTCCTCAGGGTTGAGGGAGTTGCTCCTGAGTTTCCAAGTGGCTGCCTTTCTGGCTTTTTAATTATAAATTACTGTTAGTTTAATTTTCTCATTATTAATTTAGTTTGTTGCATCTGTGGTTTACCCCGCAGTGCATAATGATGCATATTTGCAGCAACGGTGTTTAGACCTATAATTTTTCCAGGAACTAGAAGACTGTGAACCATGTGCTCCCCAAACCTGTGTTTTGTTTGTTTAGTTTTGTTTGGGGGAAAGTGGAGTAGGTGGGTCCCCAAGGGCCTCCCCTTGCCTGAGTGGGTGTGGCTGGTCTAGAAGAATGGTCTTCTAGTTTTGGGGGCAGGAAGAAAAATGTCTCTTTTTATTTATTATTCTTTGTAGCTCATACTCTTTAATTTTCCATGCTTCATAAAGTACATATTAATATGTTTTCAAAGTTCTGCACCGTCAAAATGTTAGGAGACCACTGACAAATGACTCAGAACCAGGCCTTGGGGTTCCCCCTCTGGAGTTGCTAGGTTAGACTCTGGGAGGGACTGTGCGGGTCAGTGAGTTCTAATTCTGACACAGCCACTACCTTGTTGTGTGTCTTGGCTGCACGGAGACCTTTGTGGTCTGAAGTTTTTCATCTGAAAAACCCAAGGTGCTCCTGGTGACTTCGACGGTCCTTCTAACTCTGCTGTCCGTCGTGGGCCTCTGTGGTTCTGATGACAGACACCAGGCTGGCCCTCGATGCGAGGGGGTGGGAAGAAAAGGGGTGGGGCTGACTGCAGGCTTCCTGTAGAAGGAGGCTGAGGGGTTCCCAGGTCAGGCCTTGGACCCTCAAGATTTGCCCTGGGGCCTTGCGCCTGCCCCTAGGTGTGCCAAACTGCTGCTGGAGGCGGGAGCAACAGTGAACCTGGCAGCGCAAGAGAGCGAGGTTACACCCCTGCACGTGGCAGCTGCGCGCGGCCTAGAGGAGCACGTGACCCTCTACCTGAATCATGGTGCTGACGTGGGCCTGCGCACTAGCCAAGGCGAAACCGCCCTAAATGCGGCATGTGCGGCAGCCGAGGACCCAGGCTGCGACCGGCAGCAAGCAGCCGTGGCGCTTCGGCTGCTGGAGGCCGGTGCTGATGCTCGGGTGTCTGGCCGCAAGCGCCACACGCCACTGCACAACGCCTGTGCTAATGGTTGCGGGGGCCTGGCCGAGCTGCTGCTGCGCCATGGGGCCCACGTTGAGGTCCCCAATGGAGCGGGCCACACACCCATGGACTGCGCTCTACAGGCCGTCCAGGACGCCCCCAACTGGGAGCCTGAGGTCCTCTTTGCAGTGCTCTTGGACTACGGAGCCCAGACTGTGAGCCCTGAGGTGGGTGGAAAGCTTGTCTTGGGAATAGAGAGGTCCAAGACACTTGGACTGAAAGCCCACCCTCAGCTGCCAGAGGTCTGTCTCCATCTTGGGAGGAGGTCCAGAGTGCTATGTGTATTGTGGGGGAAGGGAGGTCCCCCGGAGGAAAGAACCTCCAAGGAAACTGTCTGGGGCCAAGAGGCTGGAGCATACTTGAAGGCTGGAGTAGAGTGAAGCTTGGAAAAGGATGAGGAGAGACTCAGACCTTAGCCCCCAAATTAGGGTGTGAGGTGGGGGGGAGGGGGGTAGGCTAGATTTGGGTCTGCCCTTGGTTGGGGCAGGCATGGTGCCTTGAGACCCTCTCTTGATTCCTAGATGCTGAAACTGTGTGCCTCCTTCCCTCGGGCCCTGGAAGTCCTGCTTAATGCCTACCCTTGTGTTCCATCCTGTGATACCTGGGTTGAGGCAGTGCTTCCAGAACTGTGGCAGGTATGACCACCCCAGGTACAGAGCTCTTTCCTGGGCCCTACAGGGGATCTGGAGAAGAGAGATGAGCCACAGGCCTATCCCTCCAGGACGGGCTTCCTGGGGGGAGCAAGAGGTCCGTGGGGCTGCAGGAAGATGGGCGGAGTGAATCCCCTGGGTTCCAGAGTCTCCAGCCCCCTAACAGCTCAGTCTGACCTCTGATTCCACAACCCTCTCCAGCCTCTCTCATCTGCATCAAGCACAGACGTTGACCAGTCCAGTCACCTGTGACACCGGGCATTGTGTCAGCCTTTCTGGGGTGAGGGTGGGTGCAGACATAGCTAAGACCCTGCCCTGCAGTGTGGTCCCAGCCCCCATCACCCCTGTAGAACCTCTCTGGCTCATAATCTGAGTCTTGAGATGCACCAGTTACCCAGGTGGATGCATGTTGCAAAAATCTCAGGCCCCACCCCCCCGCTACTGGCTCACGCCAGGTGGGAGGGCAAAGAGTTAAAAGTGCTGGGCCATCTAACCCTGTTTCACTCCTGACCTAGGAGCACGAAGCCTTCTACTGCTCGGCCCTGTGCATGGTGAACCAGCCAAGGCGGCTGCAGCACCTGGCCCGGCTGGCTGTGCGTGCTCAGTTGGGTGGCCGTTGCCGCCAGGCTGCCACCCAGCTCCCACTGCCCCCACGCCTCAGGGACTACCTGCTGCTGCGTGTGGAGGGATGCATCCAGTGAGCCTCACGGCCAGGTTGTGCCCACAGCTTCTGCCCCCTCCACCTGCCCCCACCCCCAACCCTAGAGGATCAGTCTCTCTGGCGCTTTCCCGCCCTCCCAATGCGTTCTCTGGCCAGCTCATTCCTCCGCTGGTTCCCTGAGTCACCTGCTGACCTCCAGCCTGCCCTGAGCTTCAGATCTTTTCTCCAACGGGAAGGTCTGCAGACTTGGCCTATCCCCAGACTCAGCCTTTGCCCACCTTCCTCCTCCTCTGCTAAGTGGAGGGCCCCTGCATCCAGGTCTGCAGCCAGGAGTTGGTGATTCCTGTTGCCTCTTCCCCTGCTACCCGTGTACCTGTTCAGCCTCCTAAAGAGTGGTGAACTCTGCATCTACCTTCACTGCCTCTGCCTGACCTGCTTTTGTCATTTCAAGGAGGACTTCACTGACTGGTGTGGAATGATCTTTGGGAATCACAGCTCTGATCATGCCCTTTAGTGGCTCCTCAGGCTGAAATCCAAACTCCTCAACAAGGCAGACAAAGCTTCTGGACCCTGGACCCTGCCCCACTCTCTGGCCTCCTGACCTTCTCCCTTCTGAGGTTCCAGTCTTAGGAAACTGTTTCCTGGTTGCTGGATCTGACCTGCTCTCCTTTGCTTCCAGGCATTTGCATGTGCTGTTTCCTCTGTTTGGTATACCCTTCCTACATTTTTTGGCCTGGACAAGGCTGATTTGACCCTCAAGACTCAGCTCAAATAGTACTGTCTCTGCTTAGTAGTGTACTTACTTAAGTTAAGTGGCTGTGTCTGTTTCTGAGACTGGGACTGTCTTCCTTAAACAGGCATTTCAGTAAATGGTTGTTGAGGGAGGAGGAAATGCTTGAGGCTGGGACCATTTATGGTTGTGTCCCGCAAGTGATGAATGGTCTCTTAAACAGTGGTCACCAGGCTCATGGTCCCTGAGACCCCATAACAGGTGGACCAGCCACCAGCCATACCCTCTTTCTCTCACTTGCTCCTCTGGTTCCAGAGTTAAAAATACTACCATTCATCTTTAAGAAGAAGATTTCAAGGAACCCAGTTTCAACAAATGCACATAAATGATGTGTGCACAGATCCAAAGCATAGATGTTGTTGGATTTAAATGTGATGGAGAAACCTACCACTCCATAGTTGTTTTCCCCCCTTTGTGCTCTTCCAAGTTCTCTGCACTGAGCAACTCTTAACTCTGGTGATAGGAAAAAGGTTATAGGAGCAACACAGATAATAATAGGTCCCAAAGTCCCTTATAGACCCAGAGCCTGTACTACCCACCACAGGAGAGAACTGGGGAAAGGCTCCCAGCAGCCTGTTCTCCTGTCTTTTTGCTGGTGACCCTGGGCTCTGCACAGCCATTACCAATTGAGTCACATGGTAGAGACAGGTCAGGAGGCCTGGGGTCCACCTCCTGCAGCCATTGCCCTGCCCTTTCTCCTCTGTGGAGTCTCCTATCTATGGAGATTTCCTTTCACCTGCATGCAAAGGCAGTCTTTTACCTTGTTTGGCAAGGCAGCAACTTCTTGCAGGATAGGGTTTTTGATTTAATTTCACAGAGCAAAAATAAAAAACCAAAAAACAAAAAACCCCAAACCTGTTGCCATGGAGTCCATTCCAACTCATAGCGACCCTGTAGGACAGAGTAGAACTGCCTCATAGGGTTTCCAAGGAACGGCTAGTGGATTCGAATTGCTGACCTTTTGGTTAACAGCTGTAGCACTTAACCACTGTGCCACCAGGGCTCCTTCACAGAGCCAGAGGGCCTGAAAAAAGAAAGGAACTTCCTCAAATCCTAGGCCCCGGCTGGAAGCTTCTCTGAAAGGAGGATGCCAGCTGTCCACACCTTGACAGCAGGCAGGCCCCAGCTAGCTGGGCCTTTTCCCTTATATTTACAACTACAACAATATACCTGTTTAAAAAAAAAACAAAAGTCATGTGTGATTATGTATATTATTTTGGGATAGGAGATTTTCCAGGGTAATAAGCATAAAAGAAAAAAGACTAATAGATTCAGCTACAGAAAAGTGTCAATTTGGTTATTTAAAAAAAAATCATGAACACAAGTAAAGGGCAAATGTTATAAAAACTATCTGCAGCTAAAAGATTTCGTTTCCTTGATCTGTGAAGACAGGATAGCATCTGTTTCGTTCACCATTGTGTTCACCATTGTGCCTGGTAGAGTGACTCACAGAGTGTGGACACTCAAATATTTGTCAAATCAATGAATGATGGTGGTCAACCTCATCAGCCATGAGGGAAATGCAAACTAAAACAACAATGAGATATTATTCACCCACTAGATTGGAAAAATGTTTAAAGATTGTTAATATTCAGTGCCAGATTGATAATATTCAGTGCCCATAAGATATGGAGAAATAAGTACTTGCAAATCCTGTTGGTGGAAAGGAATTGCCTGTTTGGCGGGCAATTTGGCAGTCTCTTTAAAAATTGCTCCCCAGTTCACAACGTGGGTATATTCATCACAGCATTGCTTGCAACAGTAGAAAACAGAACAACCCAAAATGTGGGAGGTGATTAAACAAATCCATACTCACAGAATACAATTCAGCCCTTACAGAAGGCAGTACCCACAGCAGGAGAGAACTGAGGAGGGACTCCAAGTGGCCAGCATGTGGATTGACTTGAAAAGATCGCCAAGACTGTTGTTAAGGAGAAAAAAAGTAGGTTGGAATACAGTATGTACAGCAAACAAAACTACATGACTGTCGATGAATAGAAAAAAGCCTGGAAGGTTTGTTTCCCAAAATTTCCCTCTGGGAAGGGGAGAGGGACTAGGCCTTGGGGCTGTATTTGAATTTCTTAGCAAAGGGTTTCTATGGATTCTTGCAAAATTAAAAAAAAAATTTAAGGGAAGAAAGGGCAAAGGGCACATACAAATAATTTACAAAATGGTCAATGAAACATTTAAAATGTGCAAACTTACTAGTAATCAAATGAATGCAAATTAAGAGAGAAATGACACCCTTTTGCCTATCAACTTTGCAAACATGAAAATCTAGTGGTTAGGAAAGGGGCACTTTTTTTTTTTTAATTTTATAAAATGGATTTACTACAGACATATCAAGTTAAGGCAGCATCCAGGATTTAGAAATGTATTCATTCACCATTCTGTAGCCATCACACATTTCACACAAAGGTATAAAAATACCTAAATTCAATAGTTTAGGAAAAATAAACATTGCATTAACTATATCATGAAAAATGTCCAAGGAGTTATGATCCATTAAAATATACTGCGTTGTTTGTTTTTAGTTGTTACATTTAAATGAGACCAGTGTTGGGCAGTGATATAGTCCCAGCTGCAGACTTTTCTTTTCTCTTGTAATCCCTCCGCCCTCAAAAACCCACTCCTGAAAGGCTCTTTCAAAACTCCTTTAACTGCACTGCATCTTGTCCTTTTACTGTACACACTCAGCAAAGCTGCAGGTGTTAGGTGCCGTCCAGTCAATTTCGACTTATACTGACCCCATGTGACAGAACTTCCCTATAGGTTTGGTGGTGCAGTGGTTAAGCGCTCAGCTGCTAACTGAAAGGTCAATGGTTTGAATCCACCAGCTGCTCCTCAGGAGAAAAGACCTTGGCGACCTGCTCCCATAAAGATTACAGCCTATGAAACTCTATGGGGCAATTCCCCTCTGTCCTATAGGGTCCCTATGAGTCAGAATCGACTGGACAGCACACAACAACAACTGTCTTTACAGGAGCAGGCTGCCGGGTCTCTCTCCACGGAGCTACTAGGTGGGGTCAAGCTGTTAATCTTTAGATTAGCAGTTGAGTGCTTAACTGTTGGGCCACCATACGTATATACATATGTATAAAAAAGATCTGGGTGACTTTAGCTATACCACTAACTGTATAATTTAGACAGTTTCCATACTGTAATTGGGCATAATAATAGCTGCCTCATAGGGCACCATGAGATAACAGTAACCTCTTAATACACATGGTGGCTATTATTATACTAAAGCATTAACAGTGGTTCAACTCAGTCGTTTATTTATTCACTCAACAAATATTTGAGAGCCCTTGCATCTGTTCTGCTGTTCTCTCTGGAACTCTGCTTGGTAAATCTCTACTCATTCTTCAAAATTCTGTTTAACTGGACTATGATGCCCTGCCCCCTTGCCATGTTCTTCAAAATAAAAACACTAAACCTTAGCACTCAAAATGTATGCTGGAATTAAAACAGTACTTTTCTTCTAACAAACATACTGCTGATCAAAAGAAGCCAGACCAAAGAGTATACATTGTGTGATTCCATTTATACAAAGTACAAAAACAGGGAGAATTAATCTATGGTGACAGAAATCAGAAGTGGTTATTCAGCGGAGGTTAGTGGCTGGAAGCAGACTGGAAGGGAAGTTCTAGGGTAATTTTCTATTTCTTAATCTGGGCGCTGGTATGTTCAATTGATGAAAACCGCCGACCTTTTCGCTTACGTGTTTGCCCCATGTGCGTTTATACTTAAATCCAAAATTCACAGAAAACAAAAACAAATCCCAGTATGTTTTCAGAATTTTTTAATTGCAAAAGTCTAAGTTTTTGGAAGCTGAACTTTTTTCCCTGTGTTTTTGGAGCTCTCTCCTGTTCTTCTGCACCAAGCCTGTGCTGAATCTGTGCCTTAGGGGACCCGTGTGGGGGCTGAAGCGTCACTGCCCTCGTCAAAAGCCTTTCAAGTGAAATGCTTTCCCGCCTAATTATCACGGTCCCATACTACTTGGGGCCGCACTCTTGGAGCACTGAATTCTAGCTAAATTGTCTCCTGTCCGTCTCCTGTACTAGGCCTGTACTCAGCTCTTGTAGGTCAGAGAAACCAGTCCTTACACATCCCGCTAACCCGGAGCTTAGTGTGCGTTGCAGAGCAGTAATGGACACAAATCAGCCTGGGAAGCTGGGAGCAAGGCCGGAAGAACAGGGCAAGGGAGAAGGAAGCCTTGCTCCTCCTCCGTAGCGCCAGCCCGCTCAGCCTTCCAGCAGCGAACCCTAGCCCCTTTCCCAAGCACCTCTCCCAACTCGCTCCTCCTCGACTGGCCACGCCTCTCACCCCTGGGCCAACTAAGGCCCCGCCCACCAGGCGTGGCCCCGCCCCGGGAGGGCCCCGATCCCGCCAACAATGACTCCGCCCCTCCTTCCGCTGAGAAACCTGTCCCTTTTATTTAAAGAATACGTTTACGTCAGCCCGCCTTACGTAACCCTGCGTCATCAGTGCAAGGCGCGGAGGCGGGACTTCCTGTCTCTGGTTATAACAGCTTCCGGGATAAGCCGGAAGACCGGACCCTGGACAGAATCGGTGATTGCCAGCCCCTTTCCGGGCCCCTGACCGATCACTACGGAAAAGCGAGTCCAGGGGTCGTCCCGACGAAGTCAAAACACTTAGTCTGGCCGTTTCAGGTGAGGACCTCCTTCCCAACCCAGGCCAGGTACCGATCTCAGCCCCCTTTAATTTCCCATGACACCCCGCGTCCTCAAGCCCCGCCCCCAGCCCACCAGCCCCGCCCCGAAGACTGAGGGGTGTGCATGGTTTGTGACCCCCCTCACCTGACCCTACTACCCCTCACGGGCTGGGAGAGCTGGGCTTGGGCGCAGTTACTGGGACCCGACAGTCCTTCGGCTCGGGTGGACTCACGGATCCCTTTCCAGCGCCGCGGGAATAGGGCCCCCCAAACGCGGAGCCCTCGCCGCAAAAAAAAGAAAGGCCGGGGACCCCTCGTCACCTCGCGGTCAGGGTCGCTCACAGGCTGCGGAGCGAGCAAAGGCCTCTGAGGCGGGAGAGCTGGGGTCCTGACCGGCCCCTCCACCAGAAGTTGCACTGTGTCTGTGCCAGTTGTTTTCGCCTCTTCGCAGCAGTTTCCTTTTCCGAAGATCGAGGTTAATGTTACTAACCTGTTTACCGTCAGGGTTTATTTGTGGGAGTGATAAGTAATTGCTGCCATTTTTTTATTGAACAATTGCAATGTGCCAAGCACTGTGCTAAGTATTTTGCTTCGATGATTTCGCGTCATCTTCAAAATAATTTTATGAGGTAGGTACTATTTTTTAACTCCATTTTACTGACGAGGAGGCTGAGGCTCTAAAACAGTTGTTCAAGGTTACATGGCTAGTAGGAGACAAGACCGGGATTATAATTAGTTTTTTCTGACTCCAGGGCCGATGGGCTAAATAAGGATTTGGAAACTATTCAGATGTTGATTTGTTCTGCAAATATTCCCTTGAACAACTACTATGGCATTATGCTGGGCATTATGGTACAAAGAGGAAATACATATGATCCTTGTCTTCCAGGAATCTAGTGGTGGGAGATGGGCAGGTAGATAAGTATAGTAAAGTTTTGTAGGTGCTGTGAGAATAGTCTGATAATGATAATTACCAGGCTGGATTGGCTCAGGGACAGCTGTGAAACCAGCACATTCTCCAAGGGAAAGAGTAGGTACTCCAAGGAGCAAGCTGAGATCCTTCCAACTTTTCTAAGAACGTGCCAAGGGAAAACCTTCCCAGTACAAGAAGGGAGATTGAGATATGGATTGTGAGAGCTTGGGTAGTTCCACTTGGGTAGTCATTTTGCAGTTGTGAGCCCATGGTGACCAAGGAGGGTGGCATTTCTGGTGCCCATTCTATTTGGCTCCGCCAGGCTTGCCAGAAGGGTTTCAGAGGAGGCAGATATAATGTCTGCTGATGGCCCCTACAGAGTTGTTCCTTTGAGTGGTCTGATTCTGCTTTTGGTGATAATTTTCTTTGGCTCTTGACATTTGGACCTGGCACTGTGACCATGAATGAGACAGGGTTCAAATGAGACAATCTTGCAAGGATGGCTGCACTATGCCTCTAAAAGGGCTGCAAAATAAAATATTCTAGGCTTTTTGGTCTTCCTGAAGCCACCGTGGAGGCTGCTCAGGGGGCATATTTGCTTGTGCTAGTGATAGAAATCCTAGAGAAACTGAGGGTTCAAAGAAATAAAAATTTTTTCCTACCTACCGAAACAACAAACAGTAGCAACAGCAACAGCAAGGCTATGCGGTTTTCCTGACCATCCATGCTTGTTGGGGGGTTGGGATGTGAGAGAGGAAGGGCGTGGAATCTGAAAGCTAGAGTTTCACAATAGAGGCAAAGGGTAAGTCCTTAGCTTTAGGTTGGGAGTCCAGAGTTAGGAAGGTTTGTCTCCCCTTCTACAGGACACTGAACTCCCATTTTCCTTCAGGGCTGGATCAGTTAGAATCTAAACAAACTAGAAACCTGGTTGCAACCTCACAGGCCCCACTGATGTTGTCCCCCTTTGTTCCTGCAGTGTGGATCCAGTCAGCAGCCAGACCATGGAGCTCTCTGATGTCACACTCATTGAGGGTGTGGGTAATGAGGTGACGGTGGTGGCAGGTGTGGTGGTACTGATTCTAGCCTTGGTCCTAGCTTGGCTTTCTACCTATGTAGCAGACAGCAGTAACAACCAGCTCCTGGGCACTATTGTGTCAGCAGGTGACACCTCTGTCCTCCACCTGGGGCATGTGGACCATCTGATGGCAAGCCAAGGCACCCCAGAGCCAACTGAACTCCCTCATTCATCAGAGGGTAATGACGAGAAGGCTGAAGAGGCTGGCGAAGGTGGAGGAGACTCCACAGGGGAGCCTGGAGCTGGGGGTGGTGTTGAGCCCAGCCTTGAGCATCTGCTGGACATTCAAGGCCTGCCCAAAAGACAAGCAGGCCCAGAGAGCGGCAGCCCAGAGAGCCCCCTGAGATCTGAGGATAGCACCTGCCTCCCTCCTAGCCCCGGCCTCATCAATGTACGGCTCAAATTCCTTAATGACACTGAGGAGCTGGCTGTGGCCAGGCCAGAGGATACTGTGGGTGCCCTAAAGAGGTGAGTGGACTGGAAGGCGGGAAGCCGTTGTACCCCATGTCCCCCAGCCCTTGGTCACCTCTGACAAAGCTGGCAGGAGCAGCAGGGAAGTGTCAGGTTCAGCCTCTACCAAGGGTGGGCAAGGTACTTACTGCCTTAGAAATCCACTCGTTTTCCCCCACTGCCCTGTGCTTTGTTGGTCCAGGCTAGTTGGCCTTCTCATCCTCGCCCTGTCTTTCCCTCTCTCTCTTTCATTCTTATAGCAAATACTTCCCTGGACAGGAGAGCCAGATGAAACTGATCTACCAGGGCCGCTTGCTGCAGGACCCAGCCCGCACACTGCGTTCCCTGAACATTACTGACAACTGTGTAATTCACTGCCACCGCTCACCCCCAGGGTCAGCTGTTCCAGGCCCCTCAGCCTCCCTGGCCCCCTCCACCACTGAGCCACCCAGCCTCGGCGTCAACGTGGGCAGCCTCATGGTGCCTGTGTTTGTGGTTCTGTTGAGTGTTGTCTGGTACTTCCGTATCAATTACCGCCAGTTCTTCACAGCACCTGCCACTGTCTCCCTGGTGGGAGTCACGGTCTTCTTCAGCTTCCTAGTATTTGGGATGTATGGACGATAAGGACATAGGGAGAAAATGAAAGGCATGGTCTTCCTCCTCTGTGGCCTCCCCCCTTTCCTGGCCAGAGCTGTGCCCAAGGGCCTGGGAGTGGGGGGTGGAAAGGTTGTGGGTGCTCCCTCCATAGGACACAGGAGGCAGGTGTGGCACCTCTTCTTTATGTCCACGAGGGTACAGATACCCCTCTGTGCAAGCACAACTCAGGTAGAAACAAGGACATCATCTTCCCTCACTTTTTAGGGTCTTAAAGCAGTTCAGAGCCGATGGCCCAGCTCATTGGGGAGGCTGGGCTCTAAGGATTCCCTCCCAGCTGCGGCCGTACCTTTCCCCAGTGTCCTGCATGTCTGCTCCCCCGCCCCCAGGGCTGCCTGCCAGGGCAGCTTAGCATGCCCCAGCATACTTTTGTAGGGAGCCTGGAGTATCCTTCGATTCCATAGTTATCGATCTTTTGAGACTAAAATGACACAGGCAGGAATGAGGATTGTGCCCGCTTTCCCTACAGGCACCTAGCCGTCCCCACCTTCTTCTTCCACCCCTGTAGCAGGAATAGGGTGTTCTCCAGGTTCTGGACAGTTTCCAGTGTTCTCAGTTTTTAAACACTTTTCTTTTTTTTTTTAATAATCCTTTATAGAGCCCAGTTAGGAAGGGGATTGGGGCACAAAGCCAAGCCCCCAGCATTGGGAGAAGCCAGGCCACAGCTGCTGCTACCCTAGGCCTAAGGCTGTAAGCAAGACAGCACTGGCCCTCAGCCAGTGTCCTACCCTGCCCAGCTCCAAGGACGAGCTCCATATGGAGCACTGGGCCCCAGGCCCTTGCCTCCGGGGCTCTTGGATGGAGGGCCAGTGTCTGTGATTGAATAAAGTTCCATTTTGTGGCTGTGGAGCCTCCTTCTGTGATAGTAAGAAAATGGCTTTGCTCTACCCCCAGTAACATGGGTAATGAGGGTGGGTAGGCCGGGCTACCAATGGGAGATGCAGTTTATTTACACCAGCAGCCATGGGGGCGGGGGATACACAGCGTTTACAAAGTTAGCTACCTGTACAGGATGGATTACATATGCAAAAATAAAAATCTCAAGACCACAGGATAGCGTGAGCCCCACCCCCCTCCCCCAATGACCCCAGCATGCGGTAATGCCAGGCAGGTGGCCCCTGGGCATGCGGGGGGGAGTGATGCATGGAAGGAAAAGCCACCGGCCATGGAAATCAGTACAGAACCCCCCCACACACACTCAAGACACATGATAGGATACAGGGTGGACACACCTAGCTGGGGTGGGAAGGATGGGAATTGAAACCCACACAGCCTGCTGTTAAGAGGGAGGGGAGTGGGGAGCTCCTAGCCCCTGTTCAACTACATGGTAGGGGGGCGCTCTCCCCAAAAGGAAAGGGGGTTGTTCCCTCAGGGTCCCTGCTGGACCAAGCCCATCTCTTACCCAGCCTGGGCAGGGGGCTCTGCCCTGAGGGTGGGCCAAGGAACAATGGGGAAGTTGATGTGGACAAACCAGTTCCGAAACTACTTCCCACTTCTCCGTCCTCCAGCCAGAATGGGGAAAGGGAGAGGCCAGGGGAAAAGGATATATTAGGACCTGAGCTGCAGCTGCCTCTCAGAAAGGAGAGTGGCCCCCCCAGCCTTCCTCCCTCCACCTTCAACCTACTCCCAAGACTTCACTTGGAAGCAGGCTGGAGGCTTGCTGACTTTCCCTCTGGCTTCCTCTTAAAGGGAGAAGGCTATGACGGGTCAAGAGCAGAGGAGCCCAGGCCCCAGGATGTATCCTAACTCCTGCCAAAATTTGCTTGGCGTTTTAAAAAATAATCACAATTCTTGGGTTAAAAACCAATTTGTAACCAGGCATCAGCCACAATTAGAACCACCCCAGGGGGAGATTGGGGTTCCAGACAGGGTCTTGCAGCCCCATCTCTGTTGTTCCCTTAACTCTCTAGTCCAACCAGCCCTGGGTACTAGCTACCCAATGTGGGGTGGCTCCTCCTGGGAGGAGGACAGGGGACATGTCCAGCAAGTGCCAACGAACCTGGCTCAGGGTCACTAACTCCAACCCTGTCAGTCAGCTCTGCTCCCAGCCCAGACTGAGGTCCTCCAGCTCGGCTCCTGGAGTGGTGGTGCCCACTACAGGTGGGATAGTACATCTCAGCATGTCGACCAGGCAGGTGGGCACACTGGCATGACAGTCCCACAGAGGGGCAATGCCTAGGCATGACATCCCTGCCCCCTCCACTAACAACCCAGAACACAGAGAGTACCCTCTCTTCCCACCCTACTCCTAAGCAAATGGGGGGAGGCACAAGGTCAGGATTTCCTCAGAGCCCCAAACCACAAGTACAGAATAAATAACTTAAAAGCGGCCAAGGAAGGGGAAAGAGGGCAGGCTTCGGAGGCAGGAGCGTGGAGAGAGGAACTGAAGCTGATCAAGTGGAAGAGGGGGTAGCAAGCAGCAGCTGGGAACTTGGGCTGCCCCAGTAGGGCAGGGTAGGCAGGAGGAACATGGGGCCACCCCAGGAGGGCGAGGCTGGGCCCCTTCCTGGGGCAGGGAATGAGGTAAGAAAACATTTCAAATAAAGCAGCACCGTTCCCTCTCACCTTGGGGCCCCACTCCTCACCAGCCCTGGGGCAGGGAAGAAAGGTAGGGTGGGGAGTAATTTTGATACACAGCTCCCTTTTTCTACCCTCCCCTTTCCCATTCCTTGAAGCTGCAGAGGCTGGAGGCCCTTTCCTGGCACCCAACAACACAAGGACAGCTCCTCCTGCCAAGGAGGCCCATGGGGACTGAGGGGAAAGGGCTGCCCCTGTAAGGGGCAGGGAAGGTGGCGGCAGTTCTAGACGCCTACCTCAGCAGACAGCGCTCTGTGCCTGCCTACCCCTAGAAATGGGGGCATCTGATAGGATTCTGCAGACAGGACACGGCCCAGCCCTGCCCCTCAGCTCCAAGCACCGGACCCATTCACATTGCTGAGGGCAGCTGGGGGAAGCCCCCTCCAGGCTCAGCTTCCAACCCACAGCCTCCCAGGTAGCCACAGTGCCCCTCAGCAGGGCGTAGTCCAGTTCCTGGGGTGGGGGGCAGGCAGTGCCCTGGCACTGTGCCCAAGCCAGGCCCCTGGCCTGGCTGGACATCCAGTAACTCACAGAATAAATAGGAAAACTGTCTCCCCACCAAACTTATGTCCAAGGCATAATATGTCCAGGTCTGAGTCCTGCACGCCGAGGGTCCGTGCTCCATTGCAGAGGACCCTGCCACCCCCCAGGGGTGCGTAATTGGATCCTCTGCCCGCCTGGCCCACCAAGCTTCCCAAGCCCAAACCCCCAGCAGCCGTCCATTTGCCAGGCTCTGCCACCTGGGTGGGGGTTGGGAGAGAGGGCTCTGCTCAGCCAAAGGCTATCCTTTGCACCCAAGTCAGTTGATGTCATCATAGATGCTGGGCGTTGGGGGTGCCGGTGGCTTTGGCTTCTTTTTCTTGTTAGAGCCCAGGCCGGAGGCAGTCCCTACCAGGCTCAGATGGGATTTCTTTTTCTTGGTTTTCCGTGACTCGGAGCTGTTGGTACCTGAAGAGGAAGAGGCACAAGGGATGAGCCTCAGAGGTAGGACTATGGCAGAAGAGGAGGTGCTCCCACCCCTTCAGTCAGAGGCTCAGCTATCTCACATACCTAGACCCCATCCCTGATTCTCACTCGTCTTGGAGGAGCCTGAATCAGAAGGTGAGAGGTCAGAGGAGCCGTCCCACTGAAGCCGGCTGATCAGGGCCTGGCTGTCCGTCATGTCAAAGCTGTCGTTATCCAGCGAGCTCTCAACCTCTGGAAGGACGCTGGAAAGGGGAGAAACCAGAGAATGGCTTCAGGGATCCTGATCAGCATCCCAACCCACAACCCCCAGCCCTTGTTGGAGGATCACTTACGCTGAGGACCCGAGGAAATAAATCCGCACAGCTCTCCGCTGCTCATCTGTGTGCTGGGGGCAGCGTAGGGACCTAGAGGGGAGAGAATGTTCAGACCCTAGCAAGCAGGGGAGTATCTGAGGAACTCAGGTGCAGCCCTTCCCCTCAGCAGAGGCAGGAAGAATGGCCACAGGGAAGGGATGAATGAAGAGCCCCCAGATGGTGGCCTAAGGCCTGACCAGAAGAGGAAGGGAGGGGGAGAGGAGTCCCACTGCTCAAGTCCAGGGGGACTCTCGGTGCATGCCCAGGGTGAGTGTGCAGAAGGCCCCCTGGCCCCCTTTCTAGGTTCTGTGCTCACCTTGTGCACATCTTCTTGGTGTGTTCAGAAATCACCCCACATTGCTGGAAGAGGAATATAAGCTGAAAGGAGGGATGGAGGAGAACCTACTCTAGAAACTAGATATTCCCTTCTGTACGAACGCTAGACTGCACAAGCAGAAGCAGCCCCCAGGTGTCCAGAACAGATGGTCCCAGACCACTACTGGCCAGAAACCTAATTCCAGAGAGGGAACTGTATGGCCCTGATTGCTACGTCACCAGCCTCCTCCAGGGCCTTGACCATTGCCTGGGGCTCCAGCCCACTCCCAAGGGCCTCCCCTTCCCTGGTCCCTCACCGTGGTGAGCAGGCTACGCAGCTCCTCCGGCCCCAGGGTTTCATAGCTGATCCCAGTTGAGTTGTTATACTGAGGGAGAACCAGAGGTGTAGGTTAGAGAAGAGGCACAGGAAATAGTGGTGGGAGTAGACAATCAGTCTCTTTCATTCCTTTCTAAGTGAGAAGCCTTCAGGATTACCTAGTAGTTTTCCAAGTGATCTTTTCTATCCCACCTGCATATGGGTAGGGGGTGGGCCCACGAAGAACATAAATACGTAAGACTTAAATCACCCCATCTAGCGCTTCTGGCTGTCAGCATTCTGATCCCCTAACAAAGAGTTCGCTTCCCCACTGGTCCAAATCCCAACAAGGAGAATGAGAAAGAATCTAAGAAGAACAGCCTCTACTCACCTTAAAAGGATCCGAATTGCTAAGTTCCCCTGAAGAAGAAAAAAGAAGGGGAAGGGTGTTTGATGCAGAGGTACAGACAGAGAACCCTGAAAATAACCAGAGAGGAAGTGGGGGTGACAGAAGGATCACAGGCCCTCCCTCAATACCCCTGTTCCCCCAGGCCCCCACCTCCACCCTCCAGCAATGAGTCCCAGAAAATACAGCTTGAAGCACTCCCGTTTTTCTAGCCCACTTACCATTTTTGTGTTTTAAAGACTTGGATCTTCGAGGGGAATTGGGGTTCTGGAATGGGAGATACCATAGCTTTGGGGAAAGGGTAACGATAAGGGGGAGCCGAGAACCCAGGGAAGGAAAAAAGATTTGACAAAGAAACATCCTCAAATTCCTCCTCTTCCTCCCCCAGTAAAATCAGTCTACCCATATTCCTACCCCTCCCCCCAGGCCTGTTGCCCTCTGCCCACCACAGACACCCTCTTCCCGAACCAAGAGAGGCCCTCAATGACCTCAGACCTGAATCAAGACACCCTTGAGAGGACTCCCTGCCCAAAGGGGAGGGTATCTGTCCTTCGCCCAAATTTCCCTTATGCTTGCCCCAGCTCTCACCTTGTCTGATTTTCTCTTCTTAGCTGTGTGGGACAAAAGGATAAAGCACAGGATTACCTTCAGTTTCTAATCTTAAAGCTATATAAAAAAAAGTGCAAAACTCAGTCTTCCTCCCGTTATTCAAGAAAACAACTTATGGCCACTGTATACCCAATCTCTGCTTGCCCGCCTCACCATCAAAGCCCGCCAAGATCCCCCTGATCCCCAAACACCTTTCTTCTCTGAGCCATAGGACCAGTCGTTGTCATTGATGTCATCGTTATCCTCTTGGTCACTCTCAG